CCATAATTACCTAGAGGGTGACCATAATTACCTAGAGGGAGACCATAATTACCTTGAGGGAGACCACAATTACCTAGAGGGAGAACACAATTACCTAGAGGGAGACCACAATTACCTAGAGGGAGACCACAATTACCTAGAGGGAGACCACAATTACCTACAGGGAGACCACAATTACCTAGAGGGTGACCATAATTACCTAGAGGGAAACCATAATTACCTAGAGGTAGACCACAATTACCTAGAGGGAGACCACAATTACCTAGAGGGAGACCATAATTACCTAGAGGGAGACCACAATTACCTAGAGGGAAACCATAATTACTTGGGGAGAGACCATAATTACCTAGAGGGAGACCACAATTACCTAGAGGGAGACCAAAATTACCTAGAGGGAAACCACAATAACCTAGAGGGAGACCACAATTACCTAGAGGGAGACCACAATTACCTAGGGGAGACCATAATTACCTTAGGAGAGACCATAATTATAATTACCTAGAGGGAGACCACAATTACTTTGAGGGAGACCACAATGAGCTGGAGGGAGACCAAAAATACCTAGAGGGAGACCACAATTACCTAGAGGGAGACCAAAATTACCTAGAGGGAGACCACAATTACCTAGAGGGAGACCAAAATTACCTAGAGGGAGACCACAATTACCTAGAGGGAGAACACAATTACCTAGAGGGAGACCATAATTACTTAGAGGGAGACCATAATTACCTAGAGGGAGACCACAATTACCTAGAGGGAGACCACAATTACCTAGAGGAGACCACAATTACCTAGAGGGAGACCACAATTACCTAGAGGGAGACCATAATTACCTAGAGGGAGACCACAATTACCTAGAGGGAGACCACAATTACCTAGAGGGTGACTATAATTACCTAGAGGGAGACCACAATTACATAGGAGACCAAAATTACCTAGAGGGAGACCAAAATTACCTAGAGGGAGACCACAACAACCTAGAGGGAGACCACAATTACCTAGAGGGAGACCACAATTACCTAGAGGGAGACCACAATTACCTAGAGGGAGACCATAATTACCTAGAGGGAGACCATAATTACCTAGAGGGAGACTATAATTACCTAGAGGGAGACCATAATTACCTAGAGGGAGACCATAATTACCTGGAGGGAGACCACAATTACCTAAAGGGAGACCATAATTACCTAGAGGGAGACCACAATTACCTAGAGGGAGACCATAATTACCTAGAGGGAGACCACAATTACCTAGAGGGAGACCATAATTACCTAGAGGGAGACCATAATTACCTAGAGGGAGACCATAATTACCTAGAGGGAGACCACAATTACCTAGAGGGAGACCATAATTACCTAGAGGGAGACCATAATTACCTAGAGGGAGACCATAATTACCTAGAGGGAGACCATAATTACCTAGAGGGAGACCACAATTACCTAGAGGGAGACCATAATTACCTAGAGGGAGACCATAATTACCTAGAGGGAGACCATAATTACCTAGAGGGAGACCATAATTACCTAGAGGGAGACCACAATTACCTAGAGGGAGACCATAATTACCTAGAGGGAGACCACAATTACCTAGAGGGAGACCACAATTACCTAGAGGGAGACCATAATTACCTAGAGGGAGACCATAATTACCTAGAGGGAGACCATAATTACCTAGAGGGAGACCATAATTACCTAGAGGGAGACCATAATTACCTAGAGGGAGACCACAATTACCTAGAGGGAGACCACAATTACCTAGAGGGAGACCACAATTACCTAGAGGGAGACCACAATTACCTAGAGGGAGACCATAATTACCTAGAGGGAGACCATAATTACCTAGAGGGAGACCACAATTACATAGAAGGAGACCAAAATTACCTAGAGGGAGACCATAATTACCTGGAGGGAGACCATAATTACCTAGAGGGAGACCATAATTACCTAGAGGGAGACCATAATTACCTAGAGGGAGATCATAATTACCTAGAGGGAGAGAGGGAGACAACAATTACCTAGAGGGAGACCACAATTACCTAGAGGGAGACCATAATTACCTAGAGGGAGACCATAATTACCTAGAGGTAGACCACAATTACCTAGAGGGAGACCACAATTACCTAGAGGGTGACTATAATTACCTAGATGGAGACCAGAATTACCTAGAGGGAGACCATAATTACCTAGAGGGAGACCATAATTACCTAAAGGGAGACCACAATTACCTAGAGGGAGACAATAACTACCTAGAGGGAGACCATAATTACCTAGAGGGAGACCATAATTACCTAGAGGGAGACCACAATTACCTAGAGGGAGACCACAATTACCTAGAGGGAGACCACAATTACCTAGAGGTAGACCACAATTACCTAGAGGGAGACCACAATTACCTAGAGGGAGACCATAATTACCTAAAGGGAGACCACAATTACCTAGAGGGAGACAATAACTACCTAGAGAGAGACCATAATAACATAAATAGAGACCATAATTACCTAGAGGGAGACCACAATTACCATGAGGGAGACCATAATTACCTAGATGGAGACCATAATTACCTAGAGGGTGACCATAAAGACCTAGAGGGAGACCATAATTACCTAGAGGGAGACCACAATTACCTAGAGGGAGACCATAATTACCTAGAGGGAGACCACAATTACCTAGAGGGAGACCACAATTACATAGAAGGAGACCAAAATTACCTAGAGGGAGACCATAATTACCTAGATGGAGATCAGAATTACCTAGAGGGAGACCAGAATTACCTAGAGGGTGACCACAATTACCTAGAGGGTGACCATAATTACCTAGAGGGAGACCATAATTACCTAGAGGTAGACCACAATTACCTAGAGGGAGACCACAATTACCTAGAGGGAGACAATAATTACCTAGATGGAGACCACAATTACCTAGAGGGAGACCATAATTACCTAGAGGGAGACCATAATTACCTAGAGGGAGACCACAATTACCTAGAGAGAGACCACAATTACTAGAGGGAGACCATAATTACTTAGAGGGAGACCATAATTACCTAGAGGGAGACCACAATCACCTGGAAGGAGACCACAATTACCTGGACGGAGACCACAATTACCTAAAGGGAGAACACAATTACCTAGAGGGAGACCATAATTACTTAGAGGGAGACCATAATTACCTAGAGGGAGACCACAATCACCTGGAAGGAGACCACAATTACCTAGAGGGAGACCACAATTATTTAGAGGGAGACCACAATTACCTAGAGGGAGAACACAATTACCTAGAGGGAGACCACAATTACCTAGAGGGAGACCACAATTACCTAGAGGGAGACCAAAATTACCTAGAGGGAGACCACAATAACCTAGAGGGAGACCACAATTACCTAGAGGGAGACCACAATTACTTTGAGGGAGACCACAATTATAATTACCTAGAGGGAGACCATAATTACCTAGAAGGAGACCATAATTAGCTAAAAGGAGACCACAGTTACCTAGAGGGAGACCATATTTACCTAGAGGGAGACCACAATTACCTAGAGGGAGACCACAATTACATAGAGGGAGAACACAATTACCTAGAGGGAGACCACAATTACCTAGGGGGAGACCACAATTAAATAGAGGGAGACTAGAATTACCTACAGGGAGACCACAATTACCTAAAGGGTGACCATAATTACCTACAGGGAGACCGTAATTACCTAGAGAGAGACCACAATAACATAGAGGGAGACCATAATTACCTAGAGGGAGACCACAATCACCTGGAAGGAGACCACAATTACCTGGAAGGAGACCACAATTACCTAAAGGGAGAACACAATTACCTAGAGAGAGACAACAATTACCTCGAGGGAGGCCACAATTACCTAGAGGGAGGCCAGAATTACCTAGAGGGAGGCCATAATTACCTAGAGGGATAAGTTGGAATAAAAGAAACAAGTTGGGAAATCATTAACCTTCGTTTAAAAAGTTGGGAAACGTTCTCGTACGATCACAAGTCTAAGGGATACACATACTAAAATTTGACCATAATGTTTAGTCTTGAGAAGTGAATGCTGGCTTTTCCTCTCACAGTTTCTTCCGACAAAAACTTCACATACAACCGAAGTTTGATATAACTAATTTTCTTATTCATCTATTTTAAATAATATGCATTATTTTATATTCTTATTACATCTTTTACGAGAAAACTTTCTCAATACAAACGTTTGAGATATTCTAAACAAGTATATTACATTAACATACCGTATTTGTACTATAAGATGGTTTTAATGTACATTATCAATATGGTATCAATATAACATACTGTTCTTTTATTTTATGCTTATACCGCTCAGCTTGTGGGTAACATTTCCGTATGATAACACTATAAAAATGGCCTTATCACTCATGGACATCGCCTTAGCTGTTAACCCCCAAGGTCAAATATTAACATAATATTACATTGATATAGTTATATGTCAGGTTTTATAATACTCAAACTTATGGTATTCTTCGAGTCTGTTGCTTAGAGTCTTTTCGAAAGTATTCATCACTACAGATACATGAAATAAATCAAAAACGAGAGAATTAGCAAAAAAAACTGTAAGCTCCACGTGCCTGACGTCCGTGAAAGGTAGTATTGGTGTCGTGCGATAGTTGTACAACATTACAACAAAATACAGACTCCCCGGTCAGGTACTGAATGTGTTTTGTCCATTTACCCAGCTACAGGAAATGTAGATTTACAGACCAGAAGGAATTCCCTGTCATTTCTGCAGGACTCTCTGTGATGGTTAGATCACGTGAATGTGAAGGTATGACATGCCGGGTATATATGAACAAAGAGAGGTTACTTCTAAGAAAGTGTGCTTTAAAAGATTTACCGAAAATTAGGGAGTTTTAAATAGAACTGTATGAGGCGTTAACTATGTTGATGGTCGACAGGAAAACGTATATCAAGAAGTAGGGAAAATACTGAAAGACGTTAGTTTCAAGGAACAACGAGAAACTGAATGGAAACTCTTGAAACATGTTTTATTTTGTTCAAAAAGTTTCTATAATATATGGAACTAAACATATATAAACACAACATAACAATGCTATTGTGGTAGATAAATCAGTAATGTTGTTCTAATCATGCAAAAATAAACAATGTACATCACTAAAATACTGATTTTAATCCCGGCACAGTTACATGACTAGAGTTATCTATCTTGTCAATTTTCGATTTCGACACTAGATGTCTCTTCATGATGGCACCATGGGGGAAGAGCATAAAGAATAGATAACTATGTTGTGGTACAAAGGTATCTTTCCACGACATATAAGCAAGAGGCAAGCATAAAAATCTATATTACAACACACAAACCTAAAGCCGTTCTATATATATCTAAGTAAAGTCAACATCTTTTCAGAGTCGTAGTTTGGCATCGCACTCTTATCGTATATCAGCACAGTGAGCACATTCCGAATTTATCTCAATTTTCAAATTCCTAACTGCTGTTTGTAAACATCTGCTTGAAGGTAAGGCTTTTCTTTTGAATGAAAAAGGAAGCACAGATGGGACACTGAACACTCTTGTTGAAAACAATGAAGTAAGCAAAGCAAAAAAAAAAAAAAAAGAAAATAATAATAAAATGAAAAATAAAGAATACAAGAGCAAGACAAATGAGCAGACAAACACAGTCAAAACAGCACGGGGACTGTCAAAACAGCACGAGGACTGTCAAAACAGCACGAGGACTTTCAAAACAGCACGGGGACTGTAAAAACAGCACGAGGACTGTCAAAACAGCACGGGGACTGTCAAAGCGGGACAGGGACTCTCAAAGCAGCACGGGGTAGCTGGGTAGCATGCTGTTATTACGTACAAAATGACTGTAGATAATTTCTGTTGGTCTTGTAAATACACCTGTAAGTAGTAGGGATCTAACTGCACAGTCGGACATACCTACTGAACATAATAATAATAATATAACACGAATGTGACGTCTGGAGACTATCCTTATCGATCGCACAACAACTTCTATAGTTAAAAAAATGAAATTATAATGTATTATATTCAGAATTGTCAGCATGTCTAGCGGTTGCCAAACTGGCCAGAATATCATGTAAATCTGGTCCACATTTCTCTTGCTGACCAGGGACTGCAAAGATTGTAAAAATGCACAGGCAAAAAGAAATGTATGGAAAGTCGGCCCAAACAATGGCGAACGTCAACTATTTTTTCATTTACAAATATCTTTTCACTTCTGTTTGGAAAAAATCAATAAATTCGAAAAACAGATGCAGCTGGAAGGGTCACCCATCCAGAATCGTAAGTAAAGTTGACTATTTATCGCCACTGTTTCGAAGCTGAATGCCCCATGACTTTGTACAAGAGAGTAGAAACAGCTACCTACTACTTTCGTTTCCCCTTTTTTGTTAAAGGTATCTGTTTTCGTATACATGGTTCCTTCTTTTCAGGCTCCTGAAAGTACAAACACTGGTCATTTTTGACGACAATCATGAGGATTTACACAGAATAGGTGTGGTGTAGAATTAGCTAGCAATGCAATTTGTTCTGTTTGGTAAGATTACTGACATCTATATAACTGTTGTGATATTTCATTTTGATTTTGTATTTGAACAGCTGATAAAGATTAGAATACACTTGATAAAAAAACAAAAAACATGCTTAAAAGAATATGTATATTAACATACAAGTATAAACTCGTTTATGGTTATATACATAATTACAAAGAGAACATCATATGTACATCATTACAACGAGAATAAACAGGTTTGACCACACATCATACCAACAATTTGATGTCTTCTAGAGAACAGCACTTAGCATACCAAACAAAAAGCAAGATTGAAAGTAGGAGGCGCATGCATTGTAACATTTATCTAAAAGTGTGCCAATCTCTTAACACAACACATGAGAACAAGATTTAAACTGTTAAACAAAAAGATTCAATATTCTCAGAAATTAGGTTTTAATGTTAATGTCGTTACTATTTTAATAGTGACATACTAAACCAGCCAAACAAAGGGAAAACAAGTTTCTATAGATAGATATAAATAGCAGAAGCAGCAGGTAGCTGAACGATGTGACGTAAAGTTTATATATATTTCATACTCACACTAAACTTCTTTAGAAAGAATGACTACTTCCCGCAAAAAAAAACTTAAAATATCTCAAGAAGATCGAACGATTGCCTAATATCACATTTAAAACGTGCATATTACGTGAAATGATATTGACAGACCCAGCCTTTCATTTCACAACGAACGATGATAGTTACTCTAACCTAACTTTAACCTTTGAACTAACAGTAAATCTTGATGCATATTGCATGTATAATTTCCTATATTCTTACACATTTCATTCTAGTTCCTGTCCTTCGCCCTGTTAAGTTTCTTTGAAAAAAAAGATAGTAAGAAACATATCAAAAAGCTAACAGCCAAACGAATAGCCATATCGTTACATATTTATAGATATAGGGAAAACCCCATCAGTAACAAACGAGTACTGCGAGAGCACGGATCTAGGATAAATCCAACCATGTGTAACAAAATAAATATTTTAGTATAAAAAAATCAACTTGTTGAAATACAATCTGTAGTTTATTGTAAAAAAAATGTCAGGAAATATAAATCTAAAAATGTGATCTGTGTATCATATAAAATAACATTCTTCGTATTTCGAAATCAGAACAGTTTTGATTCCTGTTTACGCCAGAGTGATAAACATAGCGTGAATTGCGTGATAGAAATTAAAGAAACCGATATCTTTAAATAACTTAACTGTACGATGACAAATTCAGTTTGCAAAAAAAATGAAGAAAAAATATTGAATTGCACAATTTTGGCAATTTATTATATTAAATATCAAATGGAAAATCCACCAGACCTTATCGTGTTTTGTTATGATATGTATATAGTGGTGATACTGCTTGCCCTGAACGTTAACCAAGAGTTTTGCTGGACAATAAATGATTTTGTTTCCTCATAAGTTTTTTTTTGTGTTTACTAACTACATAAAACATATAACTCAATATAACACAACAAAAATAAAACAAAAAACTAAAACAGTTCGTTTTGGTCAATAAATATAACCAGGGGACGAGATTAGGAACGACGGGATTGAAACCAAACCATATTCTTCGCTTCATCCTTGTACACGTCCGGAATCCATCCGATGCCAGACTGTATCATTCTGACAGAGTTTCTTCCAAAGAGCCTTTGCTCATAGTCAATCAACTGTCTCCAGAATCCTGCATTTGGACGAATTACAGGACGTCGTTTCTTCACATGATGGTAAGCATCTGACAATTTCATCCTATGGTATTTCATGAGGTATGCGATACAAAGACTAGCTGACCGACTCACACCTGCAACACAGTGTACTAATGTCCTTCCGCCACGATGACGGACTTGATTAATTTTATCTGCGCACCTATCGAAATAAACGCAGAGTCGAGCGTGGGGCGCATCCTCCACGTGTATCTGGATGGATTCAATGGTAGGCAGGTTCAGGTTGGGAATCTCCAACGTACAGTTTATAATGTGAGTAATTCCCACGGTCCGAATTCTGTCCGGCTTGACCGCCGCTGCACTACTTAAGTACAGAGAGTCTGTGATCGAAGCGATTTGATTGAACATTTCTAGATTCATGGTGACACGGTTATAATGGAAGGCAGATCTGAAAAATACAAAAGATCATACAGATTAGAAATCAGGTGATCTTAAAGAATCGATTACACACAATACGTTCGGATACGATCCTAAAATAGAAAATGTAATGATAGTGTAGGTCCGACACGGATATCTGGTTATTCATGGAATAATGACGTCACGAACCAAGACACAAGAAAACAAAACTTCCCGTATGGAATTATTCAAAGTCATTCAAAATACAGTTATTCTAAACAACAATAGAGAAAGCAAAGTGCGGTATGTTACCGTTATCAATCTCAACATTGACACAGATGCCGTGATGTATTTCAAATCGACAGCCCGAACCAAGACAGCAACAGTTAGCAAATCTCGAATCTAGAGGTAAGATTCTTAACTACCAAAGCGTCGATAGCGACACAAAGATGCAGATATTTTCTTTTTTTATATCACCTGGTCTGTTTATCTGTAAATTATCCCTGTCAAGTAAGTAAGGTTATAGAGAGGACAGTAATATTGTGTGTAGTGACATACGATTACATATATGACAACATATACATCCTTTATGTAGCTCCAGACACCACATACGTGTAATAAACAGGATCCCATTGGTTAGAATTCCCACTTCACCTCTCGTTGTGAAAGCCCATTGGGGAAACCAATAAGACAAAGATCTCACTCCGCAAACTACATTCAACAGACTGCTAGAAGACAGGGGGACAGACGAGGTCTGGAAGCACCATTAAACGAAAGTGACGCGAGATCCAGGAACTAACTTCCGCCTTTTTCAAGCACAAAAACCCCCACCTACACACCCATCCACCCACCCACCTCCACCCTTCCACACCCCCAAACCCCCCCAAACACACACACACACACAAACACACACACACAACAAACCAATGCATCACTACAACACTTGGCCGAGTTGTTTTTTTTATAAAGTGATATATTAAAATAAAAAAACGAATCCATGAAATATGGCACCAAGACGTTGTGAGAGTTCCTCACATCCCATTCAGTGTCATGAAAAACACCATATTGACCGATCTGTACGGACATGGCATTAGTTATCGCTATGTATTCAGCTTAATAAGAAAACCAACCATCGGTCATTCACCCTGATAAATGTCACTTATCACGCCAATACATCTCGACACAGCCACGACTGCCGGCGGACCCTGCTCAACAGTGCGGACATTACTGGTGATTACTGTTAGGAAAGAGATTCAGAAACAACCTAAAGGACACCATGAATATATGGATTAGCAACTGGCTATTTACAAATCGTTGCGTGTTTTTTTGTCGCCACAACAGAAATAAGCACCGAAATGATGAGTACTGACCTGGACAGTGTTCAAATACAGTTTCAGGATGTGCATGTTTTATTTAAAAAGTTCAATAACATATTTACACTGTGTTGCGAATAATTGTATAATAATAATTAATGTTAACCCCTCTCCCTTTCCAGGAAACCCAACAGATGGCACGACCATTACTGGTAAGACGTGGTGGTTACAAACCTTCTGTATTTAGCCTCGTTCCGAATGTTCTCATTGACTACAAAATAACCAAAGTAATTAAAATCTTGCGATGAAATTTTTAATAAATAGAGTAATTAGTAAAAGCATTGCCGGTTTAATGTCTGGTTGTTGGTGGAGATATTAGAGCACGTCCCGGCGTTAATGGCCAAGGAGAGATGGTTGTTGTTAAATGGCTTCTCATTACAATACAAACCACTCTAGTGGTTTAATTAAGCTCAATGCTTCCTTTATAGCCCATATCTCCCCCATTCTGATTACAATCTAACCAACTAATACGTGAAAAGAGTATGATTAGAGTTAGATCGGGTGAAGATGAGCGCTCTAGAAGATCACACTTGGACTTCTTGTCTCTGTCCATCACCTTCTGCTGTGCTAGTGGTTCCAAAGATAAACCGCCTATCAATTAACGCCTATTGAGATGGGAATTGTTGGTTCGCCTCTTCCACGGCGGCATTTAGTTACACAGCCTCTTCACTATCATTAAGCTGAATAAAACTTATTAACCCAGTAAATATCTGACAAAAATACGTAACTAGTCAGGGTCTAGTCGATGCGGTCAATTCTGGTCATATTCAACAAATGACATAACTGAATGAACTTTCATCTATTCGACAGATAATGACAACAAAATTTAATCACTAGGATAAATGTTTGTGTAAATACCCAAATAAATCGATCATCGTGAAGAAAACAAGCTTACAGTTAATGTTGCATAAAGCAAATGACTCTGATAGCAATGAACAGATGTCTCATTTCAACAACTAAAAATTGCTTCCTGCATCTTTGATGCGGGGTTGCGAAGGAACTAAAAATGGTGATGATGTCTATTGTGGTAAGTGACCTTCACAGTTGACCTTTTGACCCCTAACTAAATCGCATCCTATATATTTTCTAATAATATTACATGAAGTTTCAATACATTCAGTCAATCCTATTATAAGTTATCATCTGGAAATAAAAAAATGACGATAAAAGCCTATTTTTAGTAAAAGTGACCTTCGTAGTTGACCTTTCGACACCAAACTCGATCCCATTCTGTATTACCTTATAAGCTAACAATGTATGAAGTTCCAACCAAATCCATCCATCTTTTCTCAAATCTGGAAACCGACATCCGGAGTGACAGACGAACAAACGGACGGACGGACGAACAGATAGGCGGAGACAAACACTATAGTTCCCTCCAGTTCCACCGGCACGGGACTGATAAATCGAGTATCATGAGGAATCGTTATTCCTTTGAGTCCTCAGAACAATGAACATCAAAATCAAACTGATATGATGGATTCCAAACAGCAAAAATACAATAGTAACTTGCAATGCAAAAAATACAATACAGTGTATTATAATGAATGAAACTGCATCATATAGCTGTTTCGTCCTTCTAGGACTCGTCAGTGATGCTAAAGGGCCTACAATATTGATAAATATAAATAATTCATTTCGACAGTACGCCAAGAACATGTTTTGAACTATTGAAATAAGTTCACACTTAGCATGGGTGACATGGCCAAGACTATTTACGATGATAGTCATTGATACACGTGCCGGGGAAATTCTCGAAAAATAGTATCAACCTGTACAGAGATGGAGTATACTTTACGAACGGAGATACCCGAAGTACGATGTGTCAGATTTCGAACTAGGTTGATCAACTGGAAAACAACTGACCACAGACGAACAACGGACCAACGGTAAGGTCTAACGTTGTTAAAATATAACCAAGCGAACGACGTCGAAATATGAATGTTGCGTGTCAGCGGCGTTATATTTCGCTTAGTAATTCGATAGGGCTGACGATATTTCCTAGAATTCAGATACATAAAATCGATTGTATACGTCAAAATCTGACATACCCATCATGGATTTACGAATCGTGTCTCTATGCAATGCCGTGCACATACAACACACTTTTCCTTTACACTGTAACACATGTGTGGGAGTCTTGCTGCTACATCACAGAGTTCTCTGGTAACAAAGACTTTAATCTTTTCGGTATCAACTCCACAATTCTCCTTTACAATTTCGTTATAGTTCTGTTCAGAGAACACCAACGTAACACAATAAACATCCGGAACTGTACACAAAACTGTTCACTGTCGTCTGCGTCTACTCTGTTTAGTGTTCTAAAATCTACTTAGCATGCGCTGACCATTTTTTTGCCGTGGAGATCCCCTCATGAATATTGTCACTATCGATGCATTATGAAGTATCGATCGAACACGCCTGGGATTTTCTCGACATAATTTCCCAATACATTTCCATATAATCTGGCTTGTTTCATAAATGAACGTCTCTTAATCATAAAAAACTTAAAACACACATATAATATTAACTCGTTCAGATATATTTTAACAGAGCTTGCATACGAAAATGAAGTTCAGGAAACTAGCAAATGATAACAAAGCAACCCATTAACCACTTCCGGTGTCAACTAGCAAAGCTATAGACCTCTTTTGTTTGTCACTTTTGGTTAATTTATTAAATCCCTGTCCTAAAACAGATTTCAATTTGTCTAAGATTTCAATAATGAATGGTAATCCTGAGGTGTTCCATGATATGGACAGTGCCACTAGTATATCAACACAAATATGGCCACAGAGGTCACAAAATGTTTTTGCCAATTAAGCTGATAAACTATGTCGTCACTGGAACGTAGCCAGAAGTACTCACCCGAGATGCTTCAATCTACGATATGGGCTTTCATCCAGATTTAATGATGCCAAAATACAAAATATTCTGGAGATGATGATGTACACTGTACATGGCAAAAATTCGCAAACTTGACAAAAGTGTTCAACAAACACTGATTTCTTTCCATACGATACTTTGAATGTTCATTACAACTTGTCTACAAAATCCTCCAATATTTGATGAAACAGACATTCAACCTACACGATATTTACTGTGTAACAAAATCACTTCCTGCTGATGACAACACTATGATTTGTTTTGAGGATATTTGTTATATTGGTCTGGTTTAACTATGCTGGCCCATTTGGCGTATTGTCTAAAGCTCATGAAGGAAACTCCCACCAGAAAAATCAAAGGAGCTACCACTGGAAAAAATCAAAGAACTAATCTCATAAAATTTTCTAGATCATCAATCATTCATTACATAACAAGCTTCTTGCAGGAGATGGAAATATTCAAACAGATGTTAAATCGGCCTCGAAACCACTGCCAAATAAGGAAGCATCGTGATGTTAAAACGTCTGAAAATACGATAAATCAATTCGCGATTCGTCGGCGATACGGCTTTAATTAATTTTCCTTCTTGAAACAGTTCAATGTTCGAAGGACTTTTTTTATAAATTCTATACCGAAGATGGGGATATTTTAACAAGTCTGATTCGTCTGGATGAGATCGGAATGTAAGGATTGACTGCATTGTATTCCAGAGACACGCTAGGCCACGTGGCTTGCATCATACAGCGGGATACATCAAATTCTAGCACACCGTCACTGATAGTTTAAACAAATA